AGTTCCCCCCCAGGAATCATCCGGAAGTTCAATAGTCCCAAGAAGGCTTGGAGTTCCGCCTTGCCCTTAGGTGCAGGGGCGATGCAAATAGCCCTCACCTTGTCCCCAATCAGGTGGACTCTTAGAACCCGCCAGGGTGGCAAGGACATGGCTGACCATTGGCACCGGGGATGCATGAGCCGTAAGGGCCTTGATTATGGTACATTTGTAGTCTACGCAGATGTGGACTGAGCCATTGGGCTTGACGGGTGTGATGATTGGGGTTTCTTTTTTATTTTTTATTCATTTTCTATTACCAAACAACAACAAAAAAGTAAAAGTAAAATAACAATCACATATCAAAGACAAAAAAGACCATCAACCAAATCAAAACCCCTAAACCAACCAGAAAACAAACATTACAACAATTAACTATTGACTTCCCTCCATCTCGGTTTTGGGTTATATGAATATTAAATCCAATCTGCAGTTTTTCATTATAAAACATCTACACGTCGCAAGAATTATGTTACACCTACTGTGATTTTTATATCTTTAGAAATTGTTTCTATATATGTTATAAATCTAGACCATTCATCAATAAACTTTCTCCCTTTTTGCTGTCTAATGTTCTGCGTCATTTTTGCTAACTCCATATACTCAAATAATTTAATTTGCCAATCTTTAACGGTCGGGATATTTGGGGTTTTCCAATTTTGTGCTAATAGAATCCTGGCAGCTACAGTTGCATATTGAAATATTACATAATCTTCTTTCTTAATCTCCTCTCCGATCATTCCCAGAAGGAAGGCTTCGGGCTTTTTGACAAAGGTGTATTTAAGTATTTTCTTTAATTCATTATAGATGGAATCCCAGAATTTCTTAACTTCTTCACATTTCCGCCACATGTGGTAGAAGCTTCCCTCTTTAGATTTACATTTCCAACACCTTCTGTCCCCGGTCTTATACATTTTTTGCAGTTTCACAGGAGTGATGTACCAACAATACATCATCTTTTCCATATTTTCTCTGAGGGCAGTACAGGCTGGCTGTAAATTTCATTCCTTTAGTCCACAGCTTCGTCCATTTTTCAAAATCCAAATTATATCCAATATCTATGGCCCATTTTACCACAACTTCTTTAACCTCTTCATCCTTGGTGTCCCAATCTAACAGTTGACTATACATTTTAGATAGCAGTTTAGTTTTGCTTTCTTTTATTTCTACCTGAAATTTAGATTTTTTCTCATTCATTCCAATCTTTCTATCTTCCTTCCATAAGACATTAATTTGATGGTACTGCAGCCAACCTGTCAATCTACTTTTCAACTCTTCATAGGGTCTAATTTTCCATCCTCTTTCTGACCTTTCCAGTAGATCTTCATAGGTCAATCTCTCACCTTCCATATTTATCTTTTTAATAGTTAATATGATTGGGGTTTCTCAGGGGGCATTAGGCACCGGCTAGAGCACTCCTTGCTCCACAAGCCAGTCTAATTCCTCGTCAATGCGGGGTTTTGAGGGTGGACGGGACCTGGTGGGCCTTGAACCTGATGGGTCGTATGGCGGGGCCCAGTTGTAGGCCAACGGGGAGGCGGGGCAGTATATCATCCCAATGGCCCATCGAAAACCTCCGGAAACTCTTTGCACATGGCGTCCACGTGGGAGCTGGTGCGGTTCACCCCGGTGATGGCTAGCTCCAGTGGCCCAAACCACGCCAACCCCAGTAAGCTAATGTAGCACCCCTTGACCACGATCAAGTCCAACCGCCACTTCCACCCTCAATATTGTACATTGAAGGTTCCCACCCCCATCGTGGGGACCTTGCGTTTGTGGAAGTGTCCCAGAGGCTGAATGGGGCTGGCCAAACTTGGAGCCGCCACTGGGACACAATATCCTTAATGTCCATGCCAAGATTATGGACAGGGTTGAGCCTGTATCAAGCTCTATGCGGCATGGGGCTGCCTCTATCTGTGCCTTGATGTAAATTTTGTCCGCATTAGAATGAGGCAACTGGTATACCTGACAGTCTGTGGTCTTCGTCGAGTTGCCTTGGTGTGTCACACCACGGGGCCTGGGACTCTTGGGTCGGCCATCTGGTTCGAGGCTTGGGGTAGGGCAGTCACGGCACACCCGGGCAATGTGTCCCACTTTTCTGCATTGTCAGCATTCTGCGTTGTGGAAATGGCAAGTCCTCTGCTCGTGGTTCTCCCTGCAACTTGCGCAGCTCCTGTTTTCCACACGAGGCGGTCGTGGTAGGTGTGCTGCTGCACTCAGTGCACGTCCTCCTGGTCGGATTCTGAGTCGTCGGTGAGGTCCTCATGGTGGATCCTTGGTTGGGACGACATGTTTGACTGGAATCCTTGAGCTGACCTCTCGGCAGCTTCAGTTGCGAAAGCCTCCTCTAGGGCAGCCTGGAGCGTCAGGTCCTTCTTGGCGTAGAGGCGCCACTGCAGCTTCTTGTCCCTCAGGCTGCCCACGAGACAGTTGCGGAGAATGTTCTCCAGCTCTGTGACGTTGCAGAGCCTGGCAGCCTGGCAGAGGGAGGTCACATACCCGGCTATGGTTTCTCCGGAGACCTGCCGCTTTGCCTAGAAGGCATTCTGACACGTTACCCCCGAGGGTTGTTGCGAGAAGTGCCCCTTCAGCCGTTCTATTATCGTGTCATAGGGAACGGTCGCAATATTTGTGGGAGGAGGGCTTGGGCGATCTTGAACCTTTCTTCTCCACAGATGCTGAAGAAGGTTGCCCTCTTCTTGGCTGTGTCTCATGACGTCCTTTGCCTCCAGAGGAACTGGAAGCGGGTGGCGTATCCTTCCCAGTCTCCTGAGCCTGGGCTGAATGGCATGAAGCGGTTGCCTGTCGCCATTCTGGGTCCTTGGGTCCTGGAGCTGTAGCCTGGATGACCAGTGCAATTCTGTGTTGCCTGTGGCAGCTGTGTGCGTTGCGCGGCAGACAGCTCAGCAGGATCCCACCTTCATCGGCAGTGAAATATATTCGGAGTCCTGTAGTGATTTCATGCTCTTTATTGCAGCTTGTAAAACAGTGATTTAATTGCCCCCCAAACCTCAGGCTTTTGTATACATTATTTACACAATTAGTCCCTTCTGATTGGCTGATTCTGCTTCCCTCCTGGAGCCTGATTGGTCTTTTCCTGCAAGTCAATCAGTTGTTGCATTCTAGGAACCTACTTGCCTGTTGTTTCTCTTCTTTTCCAGCTTTTCAGACTTCACCTCCCTTCCTTTCATGGAGATATCTAGTGCTTCTATTTTCTTTGTCAGTGCCTCTACTTTAGTGGTCAAATTTGTCTCCATTTCATTATTTCTATCAATTCGGGCTAATAGCTTCTCCAAATTTAACACAGGCCTGGTGTAAACTGTTTTTGAACTGCCATATTCAAAATCTCCCTCTCCCTATTTTCCAGCAGCACCTTATCAGTTTGTCAAGGTCACAGAATAAATCTTTCCTAAGAGATCCTGTTTCCTGCATTTTTCCAGCCCTCCCTCTTCCTTCCAGCCTGATACCCAACACACAAAAGATGTTTAACATAAAATCCAATTTCTTAAATTAAGATTTGAATTAAACAAATAAACCAAATAATTACTTTAAGAGAGGAACCATAAAACAGAAAAAAGAAATACCGTATTTTTCGCATCATAGGACGCAGTTTTTCCGTGTTAAAAACTAAGGGGAAATGTGTGTGCGTCCTATGGAGCGAATGCAGGCTCCCTGGCTTCAGCGATAGCAAGGCAAAGCCTCCGAAGCCTGCGCTCCGGAGGCTTCCCGTTGCTTCCGCAGAAGCCAGGAGAGTCTGCTCTTTGAGGCTGGCGGGGGAAAAGCAGCGCTTCCCCCATCGCCAGCCCCAGAGGATGGGGGGCAGCAGGAAGGCGCGCGACGCCTTCCCGCTACTCTCCAACCCTCCTGTGGGCTTTTGCGGGAGATGGGGGAATTCCCCAACCTCCTGCAAAAGCAGGCAAAAGCCGCGCGCTCTTTAAAGAGGCTCCGTGGCTTCTGCTGGCTTTTCTAGGAGGTGGGGGAATTCCCCCATCTCCCGCAAAAGCCCGCAGGAGCCGCGCACCCTTTAAAGAGCGAGCGGCTCTTGGGGGCTTTTCCCCAAGGAGGGAGAAGGGACTGACTGGCTGAGTCAGTCCCTTCTCCCTCCTGCGCGCTTTTGCGGGAGATGGGGGAATTCCCCCACCTCCCGCAAAAGCAGGCAAAAGCCGTGCGCTCTTTAAAGGGGCTGCGCGGCTTTGCTGGCTTTTCTAGGAGGTGGGGGGATTCCCCCACCTCGCAGAAAAGCCTGCAGGAGCCGCGCACCCTTTAAAGAGCGAGCGGCTCTTGGGGGCTTTTCCCCAAGGAGGGAGAAGGGACTGACTGGCTGAGTCAGTCCCTTCTCCCTCCTGCGCGCTTTTGCGGGAGATGGGGGAATTCCCCCACCTCCCGCAAAAGCAGGGAGAAGGTCTTGGAGTAGCGCACAGGCTGCGTGCAGCCTGTCCACTGCTCCCAGAGCTGGGGGGGGGGAATCATATTTTTTCCTTGATTTCCCCCCCTGAAAACTAGGTGCGTCCTATGGTCCGGTGCGTCCAATCGTGCGAAAAATACGGTAATGTGTCCAAGAGGACCTAGCAATTTAGATGTCCAGATATGAATGGTTGTCTTGCAGGAATCCAATTCTCTTTAAGTGGCTCAGAGTAGAAGAAATATTTTCCTTCAAAGAGAAACAAACTTGTCGAAGCCTGTCTTGATTTTAGCGTTTTCAGCCAGCTCTAAGTCCTTTTAAGAGCTACAACTGTATTTTTTTAGAGAACGTTAAAAATGAGACTTTCATAAATCCCTCCGATCACACTCTTGGCACTGATATGATTCCTCCCCTGTATGTATTCTTTGATGAAATGAGATTTCCTTTTTGACTGAAGCTCTTTCCACATTCCTAACACTGATCTGACTTCTCTGCTGTGTGTAATTTTTGATGGGCACTGAGACCTACTTTCCTGGTGAAGCTCTTTCCACATTCCAGGCACTGAAAGGGGTTTTCTCCTGTATGAATTCTTTGATGGGAAGTGAAACTTATTTTCCAGGTGAAGCTCTTTCCACATTCCAAGCACTTGAAGGGTTTCTCCCCTGTATGAATTCTTTGATGGGAAGTAAGTGTGGAGCTGTTAATGAATCTCTTTCCACATTCCAGGCACTGAAAGGGGTTTTCTCCTGTATGAATTCTTTGATGGGAAGTGAGACTTTCTTTCCTGGTGAAGCTCTTTCCACATTCCATGCACTGATATGGTTTCTCCCCTGTATGAATTCTACGATGGGAAGTCAGACTATAGCTGTGACTGAAGCTCTTTCCACATTCCAAGCACTGATAGGGTTTCTCCCCTGTATGAATCCTTTGATGGGAAGTGAGATGGGCCCTCAGATTGAAGCTCTTTCCACATTCAATACACGGATAGGGTTTTTCTCCTGTGTGAATTCTACAATGGGAAGTGAAACTGCTCTTTTGACTGAAGCTCTTTCCACATTCCACGCACTGATAGGGTTTCTCCCCTGTATGAATCCTTTGATGGGAAGTGAGATGGACACTCCGATTGAAGCTCTTTCCACATTCCACGCACTGATAGGGTTTCTCCCTTGTATGAATTCTACGATGGGAAGTGAGAGTATAACTGTGACTGCAGCTCTTTCCACACGCCAAGCAGTGATAGGGTTTCTCTTTTGTATGAATTCTTTGATGGGAAGTGAAACTGTGCTTTCTAATGAAGCTCTTTCCACATTCCAAGCACTGATAGGGTTTCTCCCCTGTATGAATTCTTTGATGGACAGTTAGACTTTCTTTCCAGGTGAAGCTCTTTCCACATTCCAAGCACTGATACGGTTTCTCCCCTGTATGAATTCTTTGATGAACAGTTAGATATTCTTTCCTGGTGAAGCTCTTTCCACATTCCACACACTGACAGGGTTCGTCCCCTGTATGAATTCTTTGATGGGAAGTGAAATGGGTACTCCGAGTGAAGCTCTTTCCACATTCCAAGCACTGATAGGGTTTTTCCCCTGTATGAATTCTACGATGGGAAGTGAGATCGTGGCTGTGACTGAAGCACTTTCCACACTCTAAGCAGTGATATGCTTTCTCCCCTGTATGAATCCTTTGATGGGAAGTGAGATTGCGGCTGTTACGGAAGCTCTTTCCACATTCCACACACTGATAGGGTTTCTCCCCTGTATGAATTCTTTGATGGGAAGTAAAACTGCTTTTTTGACTGAAGCTCTTTCCACATTCCACGCACTGATAGGGTTTCTCCCCTGTATGAATTCTTTGATGGGAAGTGAAACTGCTTTTTTGACTGAAGCTCTTTCCACATTCCAAGCACTGATAGGGTTTCTCCCCTGTATGGATCCTTTGATGAGAAGTGAGATGGGCACTCCGAGTTAAGCTCTTTCCACATTCCAAGCACTGATATGGTTTCTCCCCTGTATGAATCCTTTGATGGGAAGTGAGCTTGGCCCTCTGATTGAAGCTCTTTCCACATTCCAAGCACTGATAGGGTTTCTCCCCTGTATGAATCCTTTGATGGGAAGTGAGCTTAGCCCTCTGACTGAAGCTCTTTCCACACTCTAAGCAGTGATAGGGTTTTTCCCCTGTATGAATTCTTTGATGTGCAGTGAGATGGGAGCTGTGACTGAAGCTCTTTCCACATTCCACACAGTGATATGGTTTCTCTCCTGTATGAATTCTACGATGGGAAGTGAGATTGTGACTGTGACTGAAGCTCTTTCCACACTCCAAGCAGTGATAGGGTTTCTCCCCTGTATGAATTCTTTGATGGGCAGCCAAAACTCTGTTTCCAGGTGAAGCTTTTTCCACATTCCAAGCACTGATAGGGTTTCTCCTGTATGAATTTCTGATGGAGTGAGATGGGACTCTGACCTGAAGCTCTTTCCACATTCCAGCACTGATAGGGTTTCTTTCCAATGAGATTTCTTTGATGGGATGTGGAATGGGAGCTATGACTGCAGCTGTCTCCATACTCCAATTTTTCCGTGGCTTCTCCTCTCTGGGGATTTTCTTTTGGTCACCCATGTTCTCGATTTCCATACATCTCAATCTGCAATGGAGGCAAAGAGGGATTAGAGCCTCAAGAACAAATGAAGAACTGAAGGGAGTTGGGTGGTGTTCATTACCTTTGTTGTTGTCATTAACAACATATTTATTATTAGATTCTAATGGTTGTTGAATGTTGTTTTTTAATATATAGTAGTGGCCAAATTGTAGAAGCCTTTGGGGGAAAGTGTATTTCAGAGGTTTTGATGGCTCATAACAGCCCTTCTTTTGGAGTAATATCGTGAAATTATTTAGCAATGGAAAGATAATTTAATCAAGAATGTAATGCAACAAACTTTGTACAATTATCTGTATTAAATTAAAAAGTCATGGCCAAATAACAGAAAAAGGAAGCAAACTTGCTTAGGTGACTTTTGTCAGTGTTACAGGTAGGTAGCCGTGTTGATCTTCCTTAGCCAAACAAAATAAAAAATTCCTTCCAGTAGCACCTTAGAAGCAACTAAGTTTGTTATTGGTAGGAGCTGGTATCTGAAGAAAGTGTGCATGCATACAAAAGCTCATACCAAATAACAAACTTTGTTGGTCTCTAAGGTGCTACTGGAAGGATTTTTTTATTTGTTTTGTCAGTGTGTTATGTGATTGCTATCAAGTTGTTTGATTCTTTTGTGTTCTTTCATTTAGCGAGTTTGCAGAACATGATAAAAAATGTTAAAATGGCACAAAGAGTTGACTGGTCAACCATAAAGCAATGTAAAATAGTACTATTAAGTGAACAAGGCTATAGTTATGGAGAAATTAGAAGCAAGATTGGGGAAAACGTAACAAAAGCTGGCCTTTCCAATTTTTGGAGGTATAAGGAGACTCAGTCACTACAAAATCAGACTGGTAAAGGCAGGAAAAGGTGCACAACAGCAAAGTGATGAGTGCGAAGAATGGAGAGACTGCGAACGTGACAGAAGAAAATCATCTGGGTGTTTACAAGATGACATGGCGCAATGTAATGTGAAGTTGAGTGCAAGGACTGGTCTAATGCTAGAATTCCAAGGGAAAAGCCATTATCTCTCAAGCAAAGGTGGAAAAGATTAAACTGGACTAAAACCCATGTTAACTGGACAGCAGAACAATGGGAAAGTATTCTTTGGAGTGTTGAGACCCAAATCTCCTTGCTTGGTACTAATGGCATGAAATATGCGAGGAGAAGAATCAGATTTGCATCAGGGGTTGGCAATCTGTGGCCTATGGGCCAAAACCGACCCACTAGCGGCCCCCGAACCGAGCCATCTGTGTGGTGTAGTGGTTAAGAGCGGTAGTCTCGTAATCTGGGGAACCGGGTTCCCGTCTCCGCTCCTCCACATGCAACTGCTGGGTGACCTTGGGCCAGTCACACTTCTTTGAAGTCTCTCAGCCCCACTCACCTCACAGAGTGTTTGTTGTGGGGGAGGAAGGGAAAGGAGAATGTTAGCCGCTTTGAGATTCCTGAAGGGGAGTGAAAGGCGGGATATCAAATCCAAACTCTTCTTCTTCTTCTTCTTCTTCTTCTCAGCAGGTTCCCATGCGCTGCGCTAAACCGGGGCAGCGCAGCACAGGGACTCACTTCTGCGGCGCCAGAAATCACTTCTGCAGAGATGCAGACAGGAGAGATCGCACTCATGCGCGCGATCTTACCCACGGATCCGGTTTGTGGGAGTGAACTGGCCCAGACGGGGTAAGGCTTGCCGACCCCTGATTTATATCCTACTTGCATTACACCGACCATGAAACACCCAGATAGTGTGATGATCTGCGGTTGTATGACAGCAAAAGGTGTGGGCAGAATTTGTGTCATAAAACGGAATGTAAATGCTCCAAAATACATAAATGAAATACTTGAGCCCATACTGAAGCGTTCTGCATGTGATCTTTTCCCAGATACTGTACTGAACCTTTTTATTTGTTTGTTTGTTTTCTATTTCAGCAGGATTCACCTCCATGTCATGTTGCTGCGTGTGCAAAAGGTGGTTTTCAAGATAATCATATTCCACTGCTGTAATGGCTGGGGAATAGCCCAGACCTTAACCCAATAAAAATCTATGGACCAGCTAAAGAAACTTGTTAGTCAGAAGCAACCCAGCAATAAAGCCCAATTAATAGAGGCAATAATTCCATTCTTGGTTTCACATTATTACAGCTGCAGAACTAAGAAACTTGCTTCACTCCATGGGAAGCGTGTTGTAAGGCCAGAATTAAAGCTAAAGCTTCCCAAACTCAGTATTAATTGACATGGTGAGAATTTCTGTTAGAAAGATTGGCAGATGAAATGATGGACTTTGCATATATTGGTGACATTGACAGGAAACCAGCACGATTAAGGATTCCAAAAGGGTTGGAGTAAATTTATACGATATCTGAAAGATTATTGTAAGCAATTAACATCACTAGCAGGGTTGTCTGAAGACTTGTTAATGAGGAATTTCTACATTTCTATATTTAAAATCTTGAGACATTCTGTAATGAGTGTAATAAGAATTGGAAAATGTACAAATTGCAATGATATAAAGGTTAATTTTGAAAGCCATGAGGCGGCAGGGAAGGAAGTTGAGGCTCCAAAAGAGCCAGGTGGTATAGCGGATAATGATGATCGCGAATGTACAATATTAAATGGAAAATAATTTTAAAAATTATATTATAAAGAAAAACCAGTAATTTACTGTTCTAGGTTTATTGTGGGGGTGTTAGGTTCCCAGGTGTTATAGGGGGCGCTGTTGAGCCTCTGTGAAAATGTATGAGGTTAGTCACATAGAGGTATTTTTTGAATTTCCAGGCAGATAAGACAGGAGCCTTACCAAGAGAGGACACGATCCCACGATTCTCCTCCATGATGCCCTTGTGCAGAGCTCTCTGGTCAGGATCCAGCAACGCCCACTCCTCGTCCGTGAAACAAACAGAGATGTCTTCAAAGCAAACTGGCACCCTAAAAGAAAAAGGGAAATGTCCTCCTCTGAAACAGGATCAATATGATCTGCTACACAATGCTCTGTTCTTTCCTTCCTCTTAATTGCTGTGTTGTTCCAATAGGATGGTTTTGCTACACATTTTAATTATGGATGCTTATTTTAACACTTTACATGGAATTCTTTTATTCTATGTTTTAAATTATGGGCATTCATCTTTGTGCAAATGAGTGGCTTGTACTCCTCCTGGTGGTTTTCAAGTTATTCTGCCTACGCAAGCATTCCAGTTTCCCCGGCATGGAACGGATTCCACTTTCTCCTCTCCTAGTGAGTTGTTCCTGGGGAGGTTCCCTCCCAATGCCCTAGAGCCAAATTCAAGGGGTTCATGGGGGCATCGAGGAGTGGGGGGCAGGCTATATTTCGCAGCAGATGGGGGCTGGCTAGGTGAATCCTGGACATTATTTCTTCTCGTCTGCAATGCAGGACTTGATGACCCCTGGGGTCCCTTTCAACTCTAGGATTCCATGAAAACATCAACTACAGATGAATCCTTCAGGCGGCATTCAGAAGGCTGGTGTCACCGAGTTATCTGGGGCAGGAAATCCCCACACTTCACAGCTGGAGTTAACTCTTTATCAGCAGGAACACGATATTCACAGACTTGGCTGAGTTTCAGGCCTAATGAGAAGAGCAGCTCATTCTCTGAGGGTCTGTCAGTTTGCATTTCTTAGTGCATAAAGTACGGATCTGATATTGATATTTCCTATACTATTTAATTCAAGAGGGTTCTGGAAGCTTCTCTGCGTAAAAGAAACAAGCAGAAAGTTCCTGATGTTTGGGTTATTGCTTCAGAGAAGCTGAGTACAGCTGGGTTAAAGTGGTTCTGTCATTTCTTCTGTCAAGATAAAAAAATTCCTTCCAGTAGCACCTTAAAGACCAACTAAGTTAGTTCTTGGTATGAGCTTTCGTGTGCATGCACACTTCTTCAGATACACTGAAACAGAAGTTGCCAGATCCTTCTATATAGTGAGAAGGTGGGGAGGGGTATTACTCAGAAGGGTGGTGGAATGGGAGATAGGCAGACAGCTGAATGACCTGTTGACGACTCTTAACGACTGCAATAGGTCTTACAGGAAAAGGCAGGGGGTGATCTTTGTTTTCCCTCTCTCCACCCCCCTTTTCTTCTCTCTTTCTTTTTTCTTCTCCCCCTAATGCCTCAACAAATGAAATGGATTTGTAAGAATGTCAAAGGGAAAAAACAAACAAAAAACGAGGCACTACACTTCTGTAAAACAAGAAAACCCTTAATAAAATATTTAAAAAAAAAAAAAGGCAGGGGGTGAGAAGGTGAAAAATGGCTATATAGAAGGATCTGGCAACTTCTGTTTCAGTGTATCTGAAGAAGTGCGCATGCACACGAAAGCTCATACCAAGAACTAACTTAGTTGGTCTTTAAGGTGCTACTGGAAGGAATTTTTTTATTTTGACTATGGCAGACCAACACAGCTACCTATCTGTAACTGGAACTCTTCTGTCAGGGTCATGCTGACTATAAGAAGAGGCCAGAAGGAGACTGGGTTTCAATTTCTCTCTCTTTCTCTCTCTCTCTCTTCCTCTGGTGTTCTGTACATAGTATGTGTTAAGGTTAAGGTTAACTGTTAAGGTTTAGACTTATAAGAAGTTTCGGTAAATTTAGGTAAGTTTAGGTTAAGTCTGCTGCAACTGGATTTCTTATGGACAGGGCCAATCCTGTACATTTTGGATTTGTGACCAGTATCCTCATTTGTCTTCAGTAGCAGTAAAGCTCTGCTGGGTAAAATACAATTGCCTCTGGTCTATTTTGG